CTGCCGGCGGTGGTGGCGGTGGCGGCGGCGGGCCCCTACAAGTAGGCCCGCCGCCGCCGATGCCACCCGCGCATCTTACACCTTCGGCCACGCCGGAAGACATCACCTGCTTGGTACCCACCGGCTCAGTACTGACTTCGAGGGATCCTCTGCCACCCAGCACTACCCCAGGCAGCCAGGCCAACAGCTCTCAGTCTGGCAGCTCGCAAACAGACAAGTCGCCGAATATTGAGTGCGTTGTCTGCGGAGACAAGAGCAGCGGCAAACATTATGGACAATTTACTTGCGAGGGTGAGTCGTGTTTGTTGTATTTGTTTCAAAAGAGTGACGAGAGAGCGCATTTGAGATTACGTAAGAATTAGGAAATAATTTCGTAGACCCGTGCGCTTTTATCGTAATAAAAAATGAATTTCAAATTAAATTAATGCAAAGCTTGTTGAAAGACTATTACGTTGTGTGCGATAATAATTTGCGACTGAGAGTTGAAATTCTAAAATTAAATAATTCTCTTGTCGATGAGATTTTACGGGAGATTGTGCGAAACAGGTGACACGAACGATAAACGCGTGCCATGCAGCAATCGTCGAAATCTCTAACATCGAGATTCTTCTCGATGCTTTTTTTCCTCTACGTGAGGAGAGAATCACCGGCGGTGCGCGTGTACGCTCCTTTGACGATTGTTCTTTCTATTGTGAATATCGTAGGGTGCGAGATATCCTCTTACCTGTAATACCGCGCGAGATAGTGCACATTTGCATCTCAGAATACTCGACACCTATCTTAATGTTCGCGTTTGCATTAATTTATTCAAGGCGCGCGTGAGAGAGAGAGAGAGAGAGAGAGAGCGTGGCCAAGCGGAAGCGGGGAAGATAGTGAAGAAAAAAGGGGCGAAAAACTCGTAGTAACGAGAGAAGGAAAACACGGGAGAAACGCGGTGATAGAAGAAGGCGGAGAGCAAAACGGATAGAGAAAGAAGGTGGATGAGAGAGAAAAAGAGAGAGAGAGAGAGAGAACCACGGAGAAGAGAAAGAATACGTACCGTGGCTATCGTGGCGTGGAGAGTACGAAAAAACAAAGAGTCACCATTAATAACCCAGTGGGGTGTTCCCCGGAACGCTTACACGTCTGTTACGAGCCTAATAACGATGTAATAGGGCCGAGGAAATGAAGCGGGAGGAACGAGGACGGACGCCCAAAAGGGAGACGCGGGCGCGAGAGGGAAGGGTTTATCCCATTCTGGCGCCGATGATGACGGGGTTCGGTTCCGATGGAATGAGAAACAAATTGTTTTCACGGGCGGAAACAAATCCCAGCGGGTCGTCAGAGGAACGTGCGCGAAGCGGCGAGTTATCGCGCGTATATAAACTGCGGCGGCTAATTATCCATCGGCCAGATGTATCGAGGATAACTAATTAGCCGGCCGCGCCGCTTGTCGTATATATCGCGCTGGCGAATCTCGCGATTTGTCGATACGTACGGCAAGTGATTCGGATGATCTCTCGACGTTGATCCGAATGTTGCATATTGTGTTCGTTCTTTTTCTTCATTAGATCAATGTGTCAAGATGAATTTTGACACATTTTCTTCGAGTCATCACTAAATTGTTTGTGTATCACGGCTATTGAAAAATATTAATTTAACACAAGAAGTTAACGCAATGATGTTATGTAAAGCAGTTTTGTCCTTGTTGAAAATACTGGAGATAAAAAAGCTTTAATTCATTTTTATCGAAGATGATAATACGATGAAGTTTGGTGCAAGGCTAAACTTCTTGGCGTACAAATACCTCGCACGATGTTTTTGTGGAAATATTTAAGAGCGATCAGACATCTAAGCTGCAGTTGCATGATTCCCCAATGTTTTCTTGCGTCACGGAAATCGCTTTCATATTCGCGACGGGGAGTAGCCTCTGGCTGCCGCACGTCCGTCCGTTAAATCATTTATACCAAGGCAAAGGATCGAAGACCCTGGGAAAAGGGAAGAGGGTAACGAAGAGAAATGTCGCGAGTCGGTTCGGACAGTCGGACGGACTCCGGGTTAATCGAAATCTACAGCACCCTCGGAAATCAAGAGTTATATATCCTTCCGCGCCGCTGTTTTGCCCCCTCTCGCTTATTTTCCGACTGCTCTCTCTTTCTCTCGCACGCCCTATTATCCCGAATTACGCCTTATTGATACCAGATTGCCCGCGGTAATTTATATCTCGCGGGTAATTTAGTGCACTTCGTGGGTTCTTTGATTAATGACACACGGCTATCTTTGCGGTTCCTCATTCTTTTCTGTCCTCTTCTCGCGCGTATATCGACTTTGCTGGATGTGCATCAAAGTCGCAGCAAGGAACGTACGCGGAAATGTTAATTGTAAAAGCTCGAGCAATACAAAGTATTAACTTTATATAAGTTGATGTTTGTGTGTCTACGATGCGATTCATTGATAATTCATGACTGAAGTTTATCCAGTTATTAAATATAAGATGTGTGTATTAGTTAAAAGTAAATTGATTGTATGATTCTTGTTGCCACGAGATGATTTTTATTACGAAAGCTTATGATGAATTCCGCTACTGATTTAAGGTAAATGTCCCGGTATTCGGACAATAATACAAATTTTATTCATTTTGTATCCTAATTTTTAATATAATTAAAAACAAAACTTTTTATCGTAAAGTATAAAAATTTATTAACATAAAGTGAAGTAATGATTATATAACATTGAAAATTATTAGTTATAAATGCACTTTTAGGTTGTTCGCTTACTGAGACATTTGCACATGTTTATATTTTTTCATTAAAATAAATACATCTAACGTAATTCAGAAAGTTAATTGTTTCAGTTTTCAATAATTGATTGTATCAACTCGTGATAAAATAAAAATTGTTTAATTTTTTATGGCATTTACACATTAAATCAGTAGATATTTTCCCGCTATTCCTTAAGCGTCCGGATAGCGGGACATTTACCTTACTTATGGAAAGTATCTCGAAAATTTCTCGATTTTTCTACGTGACACCTTCGTGCAATTACCTAGATAGATAAGATTCATATGATAATTTTTTACGTTGGAACGTTTCAAGTTAATCATTTTGACGCAATGAAATTTTTAACTACCTCTTTCTCAAAAAGCGATATAATTAGATGATATCTCGTGTCTGTTATAAGACGAAAGAGTACATTATCCCGCGCTCGATCGTGATCGAAATTATTTTTGCCGGGCGTTAAAATAATACGTTCTGCTTTCGTGCTTCCTTCGGGAGATATCGCGCCGTGTCGTCGCCGTGTCGGCGAACCGACAAGCAAAGCAACGCGGCTAACCCATGCGAGTTCATAACATTCTTCCATTTACCGCACATTATCCCTCTCACCGGTCGGTTCCGCATTTCTGCGCTTAGCATTCATCGCTTCGCTAGACGGTTACCGCAGGATCTCGAGCCTATTTGCGGTAACCGACAGGCCGGAGGATCGAGGCTATTGAGATCTCGTTAGGTTCACTACCCGGTGGTATTGCCCCTCAACGGGGACCGAGAAGACTGCGCGTGGGATCTGGCACGTAACACGCGTAGAAATCATATACTGATGATCGCGCCGACCGAACGAAGACAGACAGACAGATGGATGGGATTTGCTTCGATCGATTCGAACGTATGGAAAAAAATGTACAATTTCGTATCGGCACTGAGATCGGAAAGTGTTCGTGAAATATCTGGCATTATGTAGAATAAAATGACATGGGAACGGGAATAATCATTGCCATAATTCGCGAACAGGTGTAAGACAAATGTACGTAGCGGAGATGAGATGTTTTTGGTGTGGAATTCGCAATAGTTTCGTGTACTCTTGTGCTGCTTATTACCGCGATCTCAAAACGTTTTGGAATTCTTTACTTCGTTATATTCTTATCGTTTATTTCCGTGATTTGGAAATCAATAAAATGTAAATTTGTTATTTTACATCGTGTTTCGTTCAGTTAACTCTGCTAATTATTAGCGTTTTTTTCGTATCAGGCAATTATTGTTATAATTTTGCGAAGCTATTCGACGTTTTTTTTTTTTTACTCTTTTAAATTGCAAAGCGTTCGTTGCGCAGATAGGCGAAACTGTCGGGCAATTAAAGCGTGTCGGCGCGTCGCACGGCGTTAGTGCAGCTTGCGCTTGCGATAATTGCTTCCGTGTACAATGTGTAAACCGTTTCCGGCGGCTCGGCGCGCGCGGCTAAACCGTCCGTAATCTGTGCACCGTGTAACGACGAATTTCACGAATCGCCCCGGTCACGTCGACCAGATGTCGACCGACCACCATCGTGCTCGTTTGTTCGCTCGGCTCGAAGTACGCGGAAATGCATCCGCGGGACTGCAACCGGCCGTCAGCGTTACATTTCCCGAAGGGCCCCATCGCTGAGCAAGATAATTCACGGTTAGGCTTGTCTGACTTTTTATTCGATAAACGAGTTAATTGCTGTACCTACTATTAATTTGCGAAGATGCTTGCAACAAATCGGGATGTGTTTTTTTTAGAAAAAAATAATTCTTGGTTTTCGTTTTAAAAGAGATTTTTGTACATCTTTTAGATGTAAACTAGCAATTTAATTAAGCTTTTCTCTCATAATTATATTCGTTCTTCATCTAATAATTACGATAGAAATATATATATATATATATATATATAAAATACATATGAATCGATACTTTTATTATCGATAATAAAATATTACGTTTATTAAAAATAGGATTCTTTTTTAACAATATTGCGCTTTTATTGAACATTTATGTTTACTATGCGACCACAAACACATCTGTCACATCTTTATAGAAAGCGGAATATTTGATGATATTTTAACGCTTTCGGCGTCTTTCCGGTGTTTTTCTAACGCTTGGAGAAATATGTTTGCGCCATTTTAGCACCCATGTTGAATCGCTCCGGGCGCTACTGCCGTCGGTAGGTCGCGTGGCGGAAACTGTCGCCAAGATGTCGACGAGATATCCTAATGAACCTGAGCTTCTCTAATTATACTCGTCCTGCCATGCACCCGATATTTGGTGCGCCGAAATTCCTCGAGCGAGACGATCGTCTTCGTGCATCCGCCGACCTTCTCGTAAATTCCAACGCCTCATGAAAGACTCACTTATTTTTTTTTTAATCATTGTCTTTTCTTTTAGAAGACGACCTAAGTAAAATATCTTTCTTCAACATTATGAATTATAGTTTCTCTCTCTCTCTCTCTCTCTCTCTATCTCTATCTCGTTGGTAACAAAACTTATGAAACAAAAATTTAAAATACATAGATTCGAAGAAAAT